GTAAAAAAATGACATTTTTTTCAAAATCTATGCATAAAAAATGAATGTAGCTCTCTCTTACACTGTTCATTGAACTAAATTCTTCTAAAACCCAAATTAAGGAAGATTTGCTTACAGTCTGCATTAATAGTTTATAGCTCAGGCCAGGCGCGGTGGCTCACGCCTGTAATCCTAGCACTTTGGGAGGCCGAGGCGGGCGGATTGCTCGAGGTCAGGAGTTCGAAACCAGCCTCAGCGAGACATTGACCAACTAAAAATATATATACAAAAAATTAGCCGGGCATGGTGGCGCATGCCTGTAGTCCCAGCTACTCGGGAGGCTGAGGCAGTAGGATCGCTGAGCCCCGGAGATTGAGGTTGCTGTGAGCCAGGCTGACACCAAGGCACTCACTCTAGCCTGGGCAACAAAGTGAGACTCTGTCTCAAAAAAAAAAAAAAAAAAAAATAGTTTATAGCTCTAATATGCTGAAAAATCACACAGCTTTTTTTTTTTTTTACATTATTAGGGAAGCTTAATAAATACATAAGAGATAATGATCTCAGTAGGCCTCCATCTGCTCATCAAAATTTGAGGTACTAAATCAGTAAATACACTTGGTCATCCTAGGAGCCTGTGGCTATGTTGCTGGACAGTTATGTTCTGTGTGTAATCAGTTATTTTGATGTGACCTGTATTGGTGCAAGTGATTAAAGAAATTTTCCAACATGCACCTTTGTCAAACCTGTACTTATATTATCTTGGAAGTTTAAGAAAGATATATCAAAATAACTTGTAATGATGCCTGTCTTAGCCAACTCTAACCCTGCCTTTCCTTCCCTATCCATTCTTTTTTTTTTTTTTTTGAGGCAGGGTCTCACTCTGTCATCCAGGCTAGAATGCAGTGGGGTGGTCATAGTTCATGGCAACCTCAAACTCCTGGGCTCAAGCGATCCTCCTGCCACAGCCTCCGGAGTAGCTGGGACTATAGGTGTGTGCCACAACACCCAGCTAATTTTTCTATTTTTAGTAGAGACAGAGTCTCACTCTTGCTTAGGCTCATTCTTAAATCCTTCTCACAAAAGCCTTGCCTCTGATAGGACAGATACTCAACTAGTCCCAAGATAGTCCATTTATTTTGAACAGTGCTGTTCCAAAGTTATGACTTATATCCTTAGAAAGTAATGGGGAGTAATATGGTTTAATGTAGCATTTCCCAAATTATGTTCTCTTCTACACACTCCTAGACAAAAACATCTCCTAAATTTGAAAAACTATGGGTCTATTCCTCCTCTTGGTGTTTCACAATATATAGTAACATAGTAAAGGCTCTGTGAAATCTTAAAATTAGAAAACCTGTGTAATCCAGTGTTTGCCAAACTTATTTGCCTATATAGTCCTTTTGTAACTTAAAAATTGTTTTAAATTGTGGTAAAATATACAAAATATGCCATTTTAGCCATTTATACGTGCATAATTTATTGGTTTTACATTCACAGTGCTGTTCAACTATCAGCACTATTTCCCAAAGTTTTCTATAATACAAAGAGAAACTCTGTACCCACTAAACAACAAGTCCCCATCCTCCCAGGCCCTGGGAACCTCTATTCTACTTTCTGTGAATTTGCCTATTCTAGATATTCCATATAAGTGGAGTTATATAATTGTCCTTTTGTGTCTGGCTTATATTGCTTTGCATAATGTTTTGGAGGTTCATCTATGTTATATCCTCTGGAGATAGAATATATCGGATGTATCAGAACTTCATTCCTTATTAGGGGTGAATAGTATCCAATTGTGCATGCTTTTGTAACTTTTGAGGAGCACACTGTAGAAATGCTGATGATGAAATCAGTATAGCCTTCAGTGTCAGTTTGAACTATGGTTCCAGCTCATTCTAGCTGTGTAACCTTAAGTCATTTCACTTTTATGAGCCTCACTTTACTTAAAATGGGAGCTTTATTCCTATTAATCAGCGGGTTGTTGTAAAGATTAAGAAAACGCATATAAATGTCTAGCAAAATGCTTGGCCTGTAACAGGTGCCCAGTGAATATGCTTATATCCCTTATATTGGCAGAAAAGAAAACAAAAAGGAAGATCATAATACATTATGAATTTCTGTAACTCGTTGCAATCAATAATTATCGATTTAGTTCTATCCCTACAAATAGTCTCCAGCACTGTCTAATACCATAGCCACTAGCTACAGCACAATTTGACTACTGACCGCTTGAAATGTGGTTACTGTGAATGAGGAACTCAATCTTTAATTTTAGTTAAGTTATATTAAAATAGTTGTATGCAGCTAGTGGCTGCTGAATTAGCACAGATCCAGATTCCTGAAGCAGTGGTTCTTAACATTTGTTTCATAATGGGATCATCTGAGGAACTTTAAAATATACCACTGCCTAGGCCCCTCCCAGAGTAATTAAATTTTAATCTCTGGGCCCAGAATGGGTATTTTTGGAAAGCTCCCCAGGTAATTTTAATGTGGAGAGAAGGTTGAGAACCACTGTTCTAGTGATCCCTTTACACTCTCCCATTCCCCAACAATCAGTCCTCTAATTTCAAGAAAGCAGTGTTTTAGATCCTTAATATATTATAGATTCTTTCCAATAACTTCCCTTATATTTATCTGTGACTTAATATTATCTTATTTCTCTTCTCTCAAAATCTTTGTCAATTATAAAATAGGGAAAGGCTAATATATACATTATTTATGCAATCATAAGTATTTATTAAAAGTATAAAAGTAGACAGAATATCAACTTTAAGACCATTGAGAGGGAAGAGGAACATAGGGATAGAAAGATCCAACTGTAGTTAATGTTTTATTAGTTTAAAAAATCTTTAAAATTTTACTGCTTTTAATTATACAAATATGAGCTAACCTGTGGCATAACTTTTTTCCAGGGGCAGTTCTGTTCATACACAGGGGATGTTTCTACATTAGCCAAAACCTAAAACTTTTTTTTTTTTTTTGAGACAGAGTCTTGCTTTGTTGCCCAGGCTAGAGTGAGTGCTGTGGCCTCAGCCTAGCCCACAGCAACCTCAAACTTCTGGGCTCAAGTGATCCTACTGCCTCAGCCTCCCAAGTAGCTGGGACTACAGGCATGTGCCACCATGCCCGGCTAATTTTTTCTCTATATATTAGTTGGCCAATTAATTTCTTTCTATTTATAGTAGAGACGGTGTCTCACTCTTGCTCAGGCTGGTTTCAAACTCCTGACCTCGAGCGATCCTCTTGCCTCGGCCTCCCAGAGTGCTAGGATTACAGACGTGAGCCACCACGCCCAGCCAAAAACCTAAAACTTTTAATAACTAAGCAACTACTCACCAATCCCTCAATTATGTATGTATATTCTTCTATACCATTTATTTCCACCTGTGTGTACTAAAAAAAAGCTACTAGATCAAAGGAAGGGGAACTGGGCTGGGAAGTCTCATTTTTACCCTAAGAGGTCAAGCGTATATTTAAGAGTCCTTATCTTGAGGTTAGTTTCTGCTCACGGTTTCACTTTTAATGGGCAAAAGACAGACTATTACTATAAATTTCTTTTGTTATTCTTGCCTCCCAAATGTTTTATAATTTTGATACAGTCCCAACAAAGATACTCTTGTAATCATCTGAAATTTAAAATGCTTAAATCATTTCATCATTAAACACTTGTTTTGGGGATTTTTTCCTCCCATTTAGAATATCTAGTGTAGATTACTGCATCTGAGATGGGTCAAGGTAAACAAATTACTTAAAAGAAATCAAAAGATTTCTCAAGTTATTTGTTTTTTAAAAGAATCTTTAATTTCAATCAAGTTTTTATTTAAACACATCTTGATAGATCATTTAAAGGTCATTTATACCTAGCACCCTGGGAAGCCGAGGCGGCAGATTGCTCGAGGTCAGAAGTTCGAAACCAGCCTGAGCAAGAGTGAGACCCCCGTCTCTACTATAAATAGAAACAAATTAATTGGCCAACTAATATATAGAGAAAAAATTAGCCGGGCATGGTGGCGTATGCCTGTAGTCCAGCCTACATCGGGAGGCTGAGGCAGAAGGATTGCTTGAGCCCAGGAGTTTGAGGTTGCTGTGAGCTAGGCTGACGCCACGGCACTCACTCTAGCCCGGGGAACAAAGCGAGACTCTGTCTCAAAACTAAATAAAATAAAAAATAAAGATCATTTATAACTCAGTGAATTATTACAGAAATAAAGAAATCACTTTAAGTAATTTATAGAACTAAGAAAGGGAACTAAAGAATTTCTACTCCCCACTTTTACTACTAAACAATCATGTCCCTTGTGCTTAAACTCGAAAGCAGGATCATTTTTCAGTGAGAGTATCAGAAAGGATCTATACCACCTTGGCATGAAGAGGTAGTTAATAAGTTATCTTTTCTCTCTACCATTAAAACAATCCCTTTGTAGGATATTTGAACCCTTGTCAATATCTCAGTTTCATCAAAGAATGATTCTTTTCTCTGTGTTTTCAAAAAAAGCACTGAATGCAGGATCTATTAATACATGTTGGTCCTGTTGGTTAAGATCAGGCTGCAAAATGGAAATTAAAATAACGGGATACCAATATTTATATCACAGCGGTGTAGGGGCTTCTTTTCTTTTCTTTTTGAGACAAAGTCTTACTCGGGCTAGAGTGCCAGGGCGTCAGCCTAGCTCACAGCAACCTCAAACTCCTGGGCTCAAGCAATCCTTCTGCCTCAGCCTCCCGAGTAGCGAGTAGCTGGGACTACAGGCATGTGCCACCATGCCCGGCTAATTTTTTCTATATATTTTTAGTTGGCCGATTAATTGCTTTCTATTTTTAGTTGAGACGGGGGTCTCGCTCTTGCTCAGGCTGGTTTTGAACTCCTGACCTTGAGCTATCCACCCCCCTCGGCCTCCCAGAGAGCTAGGATTACAGGCGTGAGCCACCGCGCCCGGCCTCAAATGTATTTTGGTAAAGAACTTAGAATCTCAGGTCATACAGGTTCCAAGCGTGCCAGGTGTTTTGTGGGAATGACAAACCTGCATAGACCAAAAAGGTGACGAGTGCAGCCAGCAGGTGGATACGAAGCTTGGTTCGGACTTCCTGGAAGTGCAGCAGAGCGCTGTGGAAGACAAAGGAGCAGACGGCTTCTGTGATTACCGCTTTGGGCAAGTCGACTTGGATGGGATTCTTGCAAGCGAAGGTCCTCTCACTGACGTGATACTTGGTCAGACTCAAGCTCCACAGGGCGCCTACGCAGTACCTGCTGCATAGGGCACTAACCAACTGAGCCAGCAGCCTCATTGCACCCATCTCGGGGGACATTCCGCCCAGCATCATCTGCATCATCACGCCGCACGGGTTGCTGGAGGTGCCCACCAGAGTGAGGCCATGCACCAACGAGAAGAAGTAGATTAGCGTCAGCGGCCAGGTGGGGTGCGCGGGGTCCTGCTCGCTCAGCAGTTGCAGCTCGTGGGTGCAGCAGCAGAGCTGGAAGGTGGCTAGAAACTCCAAGACGAAGGCGTGGGCCGTGGGGCTGTGCAGCTGCTGCCGGGCGATCACGCGGGCCAGCCCCATGAACAGCACCAGCGACAACATCAGTCCCAGCGAGGTGCAGGTGTCCTGCACCTCGGGCCGGAGCCCCAGCAGCGCCGACATGGCTCCCTGGCCGCCTGACCAGCCTGCGTGCGAGGGCTCTGGGCCAGAGGCGGTGCATGGACCCAAGTCCCAAGTCCGCGGCCCCGCCCCCTCCTCACGCCCCTCGGGGCAGGCCGACTGGCGAAGAGCTGGAGGACCCGGGCGTCACGCTGGGAGGCTCCTCCCCCCTCCCGGGCTCTGCGCGGGCTGTCGGGACCAGAGCCAGGAGGAGGGGAGGCGGGGGCCGGTGAGGAGGCCAAAGGTCTGCGGAGCCCGACGCCCACAAGCCCTCTGGCCTCCCTCAGGGCCTGGGAGCCGGCGCCGGCGGGGCAGGGCGCGGAGGCCCGGGCGCGCCCGGAGCCCATTGCGCACGCGCACTGCGGCCCGTGCGCCGGAGCGGGCGGCGAGAGCTGGACCCTGGAGCGGCGCGAAGGAGCTCGTCCCCTTGCGCGCTCAGATGGTTGCTTTTCAGGGAGGATCTTGTAGATTCCGTTTCCTCTCTCCAAAAACTAAAGCCGTCGAGCCGGAAAGACCCCTAAAGGTCGTCTCGGACAACTACCTCATTTTATTAATGGGGCAACTGAATGTGAGAAGAGAGGTGCAACACCGGGGACTTGGCGTACCAACGTTTGACCTGGGTGAGGAAGGCATGGAACAAGGTCTCCTTGAGCCTTAGTTTTCCTCATCTGCCAAAAAATATTTTTTTAAATGGTGGTGATATATAACATAAAGTATGCCATTTTAAACATTTTAAAGTGTATAATTAGTGGTATTAAAGCTTAAGTGGTGATTCTTAGGAAGTACTAAGGTTTTTGGTTTTTTGTTTTTTCTAATTTATATTTAGCCTTGCCTAAGCAAGACCTGAAAAAAGAATTGGTTACCAACCCAAAACTGTTTCTCTTCACGGAAGTCTTTAGTAAAAGGCGAAGGATTTGTTCCCGAGAAAACACAGCATTGAAGTCCTAAGTTTTTTAATGTCTCTACAACCTTTGGCATGAATTATTTAAATATAATAATATGAAACAGTTAGATCTTCTTATATATACTCTTCTTACGTGAAGAGGAAACCCAAATAACTCTGGGGAGCTGCTTCATGGAGCTGTGAGTCATGACACGTCTCACTGATCTGCTTTAGAAAGCATGGGAACCACTTAGCACAGAGCCCAGCTCATAGAAAGTGTTCAATAAGTGGTAGCTTAAAGTTGAAACAGCGGATTTCAACAGTTCAAGTCCCAGCAACAGCTCGTCCACCCCAGGTGGCCCATTTTCTGTGCAAAGTGGAAGGGAATGTCTGAGGCTCCTCAGATCTCACTGCACCTAGTGAGGTTTTGTGCTAATGCAGCCGTGTCATGGTTTAGCATAGTGGTTCAAGCTTCAGCCTCAGACCTGACCTGCCTCCCCTAGGCTCTGTTGACCACAAGAGCACGTTTCTTAGGGCTGGAGGGGAGGGAGAGAGGAACAAAAATGAGGGGAATCATTAGCTTCAAGTGGCAGAGCATTTGGAAGGCCTTGTGGAGGATAAAGCAACTCTATCTTGGGTGGGCATGGTGGTCATAGCTACTCGAGAGGCTGAGGCAGGAGGATTGCTTGAGCCTAGGAGTTCTGGGCTGTAGTGCCTATGCCCATGAGATGTCAGCACTAAGTCACCATGTCAATATGGTGATCTCCGGGGAGTAGGGGATCACCAGGGTGCCTAAGCCTAAGGAGGGCTGAAGCCGCCCAGGGAAACTGAAACAAGTTAAAACTGTGGTGCTGATCAGTAGTGGGATTGCACTTGTGAATAGCCACTGCACTCCAGCCTGGGCAGTATAGTGAGACCCCATCTCGGGGGTGGGGGAGCAACTCCATCTTGGATGCTAATCTGCCATGTTGACTTGGATTTAGACTGTTCCAGGAATGCCTCTGAGATTTCTACTTCATTGTTGCTGCCCCAGGTCAAAATAACCTTGACGGTAAATCCTGCCCTTAGGTAGATTCACTTTGCATTCCTGCCTTTCCCTGAGGGGTTGCTGTCAATTGTCTTCCACATTCCTTCCCTGTGGTATATATGCCCTAGGCCTGGGGGGTAATGGTGGGAGGATCCACCATCTCCTGGCCCACCCAACACCACTTCTGTTTGTAAGTCCCTGTTAAATGTTTCTCTCTGAGAAAACTGGATTTGTCAGCCTCTTCCTTCCTTAGACTTTGGGGGTAGCTTCGCACAGACCTGCACACCTGCCTTTGCTGGTTCTCTTCAGCTTTTGTCACCAATCTCAACTTGTCATTTTGTAACATAATGAAAGTTTTCTTTATAACACCAAGATTTCTGTGGTGCCAATAGACATTCTCTGAATTTAAAAAAACAAAAAACAATTCTTTCACAAAACACAAACGAGTAGAAAATGAAATTGTTGTTCCCTGACCAGGAAGAATTTAGAATACATTAAAACTAATTTTTGATCACTGCAGTTTAAAGAGTGATTGCTGGCCAGGTATGGTGGATCATGCCAGTAATCCTAGCACTCTGGGAGGCCAAGGTGGGAAGATTGCTTGAGGCCAGGAGTTTGAGACTAGCCTGAGCAAGAGCGAGACCCATCTCTACTAAAATAGAAAAAGTTAGGACTACAGGTGACTCACAACTGTAGTCCTAGCTATTTGGGAGGCTGAGGCAGGACAGTTACTTAAGCCCAGGAGTTTCAGGTTGCAGTGAGCTACGATGAGGTCACTGTACTCTAGCCAGGGTGACAGAGCAAGACTCTGTCTAAAAAAAAAAAAAAAAATGCTTATTGTGTTTAAATCAATCCTGCAGTGTAATCCTTTCATTGCTCCCCTTTACTAGAAGTCACTTGAGGATTAATGTGAATATATTTTGTTTATCGCTGTGCTGATAATTCACTTTCACTAGCAAGAATCATGTAGAAAACTTAGTCTTTTGGATTTTGGTAAGAAATTTAATATCACTTATATATATTGTCATTAAAAGGACTTTTGTCATTCTTTTAATTACTTGTGATTAAATATTTTACATCAAATAAATTTCCTATTTTCAGAAGTAAGAAATCACTAATTAAAATCTGTTCAGAGTGGCATCATGGGCTAAGCCCTCTGTTAGCTTTGGTAAAACTACAGTAAAGATACAGTCCTTACTCTTGAATATCATAGAAGAGGGACTAGAAGCAAAAACAGAAAAGCAAAATGTAGTGTAAAAGTACCATGGTAAAACAGAGGGCTCTGTAGGGGCAGAGGGAATGGGCCCTCACTCAGACTAAAGGAAAGGCTCCCTGGAGGAAGTGTTAGCCTGCAACCTGAAGGATATGTAGAAATTAGGGGGTGAAGGGAAAGGGGAGAAAGAGAGGCAGAGGCACCACATTTTGCAAAGGCCCAAAGGGAAAGCCACAGCAGCCAGGATGCCTTAGGTTGGAGTACAAACGGGGAATTAGTAAGGGAAGGAGGTTAAAGGAGATAATGCCTGAAAAGTACTCACCATGTTTCCCCAAAAATAAAACAGGGTCTTATATTTATTTTTCCTCAAGAAGACACCCTAGGGCTTATTTTGAGGGGATGTGCTATTTTTTTTAAGTGTGGTACAACAATCTACATTTATTCAAATATAGTTAAGTCGTCTTCTTCTGGAACATCATCATCACTCTCCAAACTTTGAATTCCATCCTGAATTTCTTGCGACTCTATTTCCTTATCTCATGAGAGATTGGGACCATTGGCCCCAGTCTCTCATGTCGAGCAATAGAGCTCTCATGGGGCAGCTGAGAAGGGCTGCTCGTCTTCTTTACCGCTGTGCGATGAAATGCATGGGTTGTGCAGATACGCTGCGTAGCCACGCCCATCACTAGGTCTTATTTTCGGGGTGGGGCTTATATTGCGCAAATGCTTAGAAATCCCGCTAGGACTTATTTTATGGGTAGGTCTTATTTTCGGGGAAACACGGTAGTACATGGCCCAGCACAGTTAGTGCTAAATAAAAGTTCGTATATATAAATGGAGGTACAGTAAATGATAGTTGATCAATAATGGATTTTGCACTGAAGTCTTAGAGAAGATAGAGAAATGAAGGGAAAAAATGACCAAAATTGAGAATTGTATTGCTGTGACATCTGTGAAAAGCAAATGAGGTGTTTAATAGCTTCTGAAGGCATGTCCTTGACTTGATGTTATCCTGGGCAGAAACATGGAGGAGATTTAAGTTAAGACATTTAAAAATATATTTTATTTTTAAGCAATCTCAAGCTTTCAGAAGAGTTATAAGTACAGAACAAAGAACTATTTTTTCCTGAACCATTTGAAAGCAAGTTGCTAATGTTATGCTCCATTACCCAGAATAATTTAGTGTTTATCTTCTTAAACAACAATGGTCTCCTACATAAGCATAATAAGACTATCACAATCAGGAAATTAAAATTGTTACTACCACCTACTCCTCGGATCCCATTCAAGTTTTGCCAGTTGTCCCAACACTGTACTTTATAGCAAAAAGATACAGTTCAGAATCACTTGTTGCATTTAGTTGTTGTGTCTCATTAGTGTCTTTCAGTCTGGAAAAGTTCCTCAGTTCTTCCTTGATTTTCATGACCTGGACAATTTTGAGGATTACAGGTCAGTTATTTTGTAGACCCTCCTTGAATTTGGTTTTGTCTGATGGACACCTGGACCAAGGGTGGGGAACCTGTGGCCTTATAGGTCCTTAAATGCAGCCTTTTGACTGAATCCAAATTTTACAGAACAAATCCTTTTATTAATACATTTTTGTTTGTCTTTTATATTTTTATTTTATTTGTTAAGTGAACATATTTAAAATGCCAAAGAATAAATAAGTTTCCATGAAATAATCCTCCCAGATTGATTGGCACAATTAGAACTTTAGTAAGCCATAAGGACAGCTGCTATACTCATGATTTAGTTCTAACTTCCCCCACCTGACTGGTACCACTACCACATGAGGCTGGTTGCTTAGAGTTTGTGGGAATTGAGTACTCCAGTCTGTTTCCACCTTTTGACAGTGGTGCAATGTGTTTCTATTGAAGTGGAATTTGTGAATAGTTGCACAGCTCGACAGTATTTTATTTTTTTTGAGACAGAGCCTCACTCTGGTGCCCCAGCTAGAGTGCTGTGGCGTCAGCCTGGCTCACAGCAACCTCAAATTCTTGGGCTCAAGCGATCCTCTGGCCTCAGCCTTCCTGGTAGCTGGGACTACAGCCACCATGCCTGGCTAATTTTTTTCTATTTTCAGTTGTTTTGGCTAATTTGTTTCTATTTTTAGGAGAGGCGGGGTCTCGCTCTTGCTCAGGCTGGTCTCGGAACTCCTGAG